CCTTGTCACCGGGTAATTGTCTTCCGTGTTTAATTCTCCCGGCTGCAGAGATCCGTTATAAGGAATTACAATGTCCCAAATAAACCCCATAAAATCCCTATAATCCCACCGAGTGCCGCATGAAAAGCTTCTTCTTTCAGATACTTAACCAGTTGTGGACTCAAAGCCAACAAACCTCATCACGGGGCAGGTGTCGCATTGTATATAAACATTGATCAGAGAGGAGATGGAGAGATACAAAGTAACATTGTTTATAGACATTGATCAGAGGGAGATAGAGAGATACAAAGTAACATTGTATATAAACATCGATCAGAGGGGAGAGAGAGAGATACAAAGTAACATTGTTTATAAACATTGATCAGAGGGAGATAGAGAGATACAAAGTAACATTGTTTATAGACATTGATCAGAGGGAGATAGAGAGATACAAAGTAACATTGTTTATAAACATTGATCAGAGGGAGATAGAGAGATACAAAGTAACATTGTTTATATGTAAATATTAGTTTTGTTCCTTTGTTGTCTGCGTATTGCATAAAAAATAAAAACATTTTTGAAGACATTGTCACCCTCAGAGAGACGCGTTTGTCCTGATAAATAATATTATTAATTATTTTTGTATCTTCAGTAATGACAAAGTTATTGCTGAATAAACAGATCCATGTAGGAATGGTTCTGGTCCATAGGGTGGTGTACAGGGGGAGAGCTTCTTGCTGTCGTAGTCGGTCACACAGAGCTGCTCGGCCTTTATATTATTGATCCCGGTGATCTGCCCATGTGATTAGGACATTGATCGCTCTCGCCCTCCAGCTGACGTTCCTGCGGTTCCGCCAATTCGCCGGCGGCGTCCATCCGCAGAACGCGCGGCGGGTATTGGGCCGGGCGAGAGGTTACATGTTCTTCTACAAAAGAGCAGAGCGGGGAAGGGAGGCGGCGTGAGAACACGGAGCAGGAAAGGGGATCAATATCAATATAAGAGAGAAAATGACGATCGATAATCAGCCGCCTGCCTCCGGAAACCTTCATTCCTCCTCGTCCCGCCGTGATAAGACCGCCATCAGATCTCTCACGTCTCAGCTCTATAGAGACAAATTGTCAATGATCGCTGTTTCCCGCCTCCGACAGAAAACCGGGAAGGACCGGAGAGGAAATATACACAGAATGCCTGAGAGACGCCGCCGCCGCCAACAGCGACACCACCCCCACTGACACCACCACTGACACCACCGCCACCACTGACACCACCACCACTGACACCACCGCCAGATTAAAGGGGAATTCTGTGACTGCAATTCTGAGTTTGTAACATTCACCTCTACAGTTACAATGTCATTCTCACCTGTATGGTTACATTGTCACATTCACCTGATGTACCCCCAACCGGGGGAGGGGCATAAACTCTGCACACAGGTTTAGTTTGCCTATATTTTACTTTCTCTGGTCCCCCCCACCCCCGGTTCGTCCCCCCTTTCCGGTTCATACATTTTGGTTTCCTGTCGGTGAGAAGAAATCGAGTGAATTAATTTCTGCATCATGTGATCTCAGCACCATCTGGCGCCGCGTTTCAGCCACTTTGCATATGAAAAGACTCGTGTCTGGCGCGACCTTCACAGCGCATTTGGAGACGGCGCCTTTGATGAGCGCAGTCTGGGGAACGCACATCTGTCGGGCCGCGTCTCTTCTTATCATCTCACCTGGACAGCCGGCGCCATGACTGCACACACTTCTCCTGCGTCGGTGGAATCTGAACCTCCTGAACATGACATGAACACAACGTGCGGCATCCAAACGACGGGGACCAGGACTCTGACCCAATATAACCCCCAACAGGTTCAGAGGAGTCAATCTGAGATTGAGGAGCCACTCCGGGGGTGAAATGTCCCTGGAGAGCCGACGCGTTTCGGGGGTCAGAGGTCACCCTTCTTCAAGGCTTGATGGTGGAATAATAATGAAGACCGGACTGGATTAGGAATACAAAGTATACAGAGCTGTGAGCCCGTTTCATCACACATGACACAGACATGGTCCAATGTTGTCACCATCAGTAGACCCACCATGAGAAATGCCACTGAGCCATCACTGGGGCCACGTAGACAGGAAGTGGCTGTGAAGAGGCCGCCGGTGATCAGCAGCATTGAGAAGGATACAAGAAAGGAGAAGACAAAGCATCTTTGTTGTAATTGTCTTTGATCGGCGTGTCCTCAGAAGGACCAAAGTCACATTTCATTGTCCGGATCTATCATGGGGGATCTTGGGGTTGAAATGCGTCATTTTTACATGGAGGGGGGGGGGGGCCGAACAATACGTCCTTATTGGG